TTAAAAAAAGAAGAAGAGATAACTATATAAATAACAGTTTTTACAAAGATCAAGGTCTTGCTTTTGTTCTAGACTTCTCTATATATTTAGCAAGCAAGTTAAAAATATTTTTATATAAGATAACTGGCAGGAGGTAGTATTCTTATACAAAAATTTTAATAGAAATAGAGTTTTTGTTGATAAAATAAAAAATAGTTGGTTTAAAGAAGAATAACAAACAAGTTTTTAATATGCTCTTTATCAAAATTTAAAGCTACCTGCAAACCAAAAGTTTTTTCAACATTCTACTCTTTGTTCTTTATGAAATTTTATTAAAAAGTAGAAAATATAATATACTTCTATTAAAAGATTAATAACAATAATCATTGCTAAAAAGAAATAACATATACATATATATGTTTACTTTGAAATAAATAATATACAATTGGTCATTTCTTAAGAGATTATAGTATTTATACTAAAATTACCTAATTTGTTTCTTATAGGACAAATAATAAGTCATTAACTTTGTCTAGAAAATAAAGAATATGAATATATTGCAAAAGTTTTGCTAGACTATCTATATTTTTTTTTATTTTGTTTTGTTTTGTTTTTTTATTTTATTGTCTGAAGCATAGCGAGAATTTATATATACAAGTAAAACTTAAAAAATGTCTGTCTGTCTAACATATAACTAAATTAAAATTAACTGATGATCTGCACATACTAGAAGCCTGAGCAGAATTTTGTCCATCTGTCTGCCCACGTGATCAGTCACATAAATGATTAGACAATTTTAGATGATTTGTATATAATAGAGGTCTAAGCTGAATTTTGTCTGTTTGTTTGCTCACGTGATCAATAAATAATTAACTAGATAGTTTTTTTGATTCGCTTCAAACTTACAACAGCACCTGTTTTCCTAGTTTAGTTTTATTTGTTATTTAGATAGATCAGAATCTTGAAGTCAAGATATAATTTTTATATTTTTTTTGTTCTTTGTTTTGTGTTAATATTTTTTTAAAAAAAGTTAATATAGATATGTATATGTATATTTATCAAAAAACTAAAAGCAGTAGCACTCTTTTTACTAATCATTAAAACACAAAATTCTGAAAAACAAAATTAATAAAAAACTACAAAAAATACACAACAGCTACTAAAAAATCAAATCTAGAGCTTTAAAGAAAGAGAAAAAGAGCTACAAAAAATACTCAGTCTTTTGAGTAAAAAAAGCAGAAGCAGCAAAGAAATAGAAGTCATGAAAAATCATTAATATTTTTTTGCTTTTTGTGAACTTTTGAGGAATCAGCATTGACTTTAAATTGCAGATCTGTATTAGTAATACAAGAATTACAACACATAATGAAGAGTAAACAAAAGAAATACAGAAAAAACTACATGATAGAGATAAACAAAATCGGTAAACAATCACAACAAACAACAACAACAATTATTAACAATGGAAAACAACAAGTTATATGAAGCAAATTTAGCAGAATATTTTGAAAAAAAGAGTTTCGCAAAAAAAGATATATTAGAAGTTATCTAGAATATAATAGTAGCTATAACTAATGAAGAGATAAACTTTCAAGTAAAGAAAAAAATAGCAGAACAGGTTAGAAAAAAACTTATTACAGAAGAAGAAGTTGTATTACAAATAGAAGAGCTTTACAAAGAAATATAGTAATATAATAAAGGTAAATTAGAGTACACAGAACTTGTACTTATAAAAAGAAACTATTATAGCTTTCACGAAGCATTATAACAAAGAAAAGACCTAGTTAAAATTATCATACAAGAAGAAATATGTGGTATAATAAAGGAATTAAAGATAGTTAGCAAAGTAAGAAGTTTACTAAAAGACAAGAAAAAACAAAATACCAAAATAAAGTTAAAATTAAAACTAGATTAGAGCAAGAGACTTTAAGAATAAAGAAAAAATCAACAAAGACAATACAACAAAACAACTCTAAAGTCTTTAGTATATCGATTTAAAGAAGCTATTAAAACTATTACAGCAAACAAATACAAGACAAAAAGGAAAATTAAAAAAAAAGAATAAGATACAAGTTCAGCAAAAGAAAAAACAAGCTACTAAAATAAGATTAAGGTTAGAACTAGACTAGAATAAAAAACTTCAAGAACAAAAAAAACTTAACAAAGGCAGCATAATAAAGCAGCATTAAAGATTCTAGTAATACAATTTAAAGTATCTGTTGAATTTGCTACAGCAAACCAAAAGAAAAAAAAAAAGAAAATCAAAAATAAAAGAAAAGAAAAGCAAGAGATGAGACATTTCAGATTTTACAAAAGCAAAGGTACTAAACAAAATTTAAGAAGAAACAAGACCAAAAATTGTATTAACAACCCTAGCAGAATGGTTGATAAAAATAATATACCAAGCAAGAATTAAAGACTCACAGTCTAATAATAAAATCTAAACAAAGAAGAAAAAAGAATTGCTAGTAAAATAGATATACTATATAAGGCCTCAATTGAATCTTAACATGAATCTGCTACAAGTTATACCAGTGGCCAGATAGAAAAAAGCCAAAAATTAAAAGAAGGATACTTTATTAAAGATAGTAGAAAAGTTTTTATAGAAATCAAGAAATCTTTATCACAATACAGAAAAGATTTCTAGAAAAAAAAACCAAGTTTTAGAAAGAAAAAGAAAAAAGAAAGAGAAGAAAGAAGTTCTCTATACCCAAATCACAAAGGTGAAGAAACTTGATCAGAAGAATCAAGACTTAAGAAAGAAAGAAACAAAAGAAGATCCAAAGCAGTTAGAAGAAGAGAAGGTCTATAGAAGAATCTTTCTAAAAAAAACTCATAGAACAAGCTCCCATAAAGAAGAAAAGAAATATGAAGCTATGAATTAGAAAGAAAAAATTAAAAAAAAAGAATATGAGTAGACTCTTAAGAGATGGATTTCTGATCAGAAAAGACAGATTAAATTAAAAAAGAAAGAAAAAAATGTAAATATAAATGAAAGAATTTTGATAATAATTTTATAATAAAGAAAAAAGTAGAATTGTTTATTAATACAGTTAGAAAATATATTAAATTAAAAAATTAGATTTTAAAATGATCGATATATCAATTCTCAAATTTGATTAGCTATTATATACTCTTTTGCAGTGCTGTATATTTTAACTGTCCAAAAGCTTTTTTGGTACTGTCTAACATCTAAATGTCCAAGTGTTTACAAGTGTTCAGAGCATGTCTAATTAATAATTAATAAATTTGTTTAAAAAATATATAATTATATATTTTTTTATGTGCTGAACATATTTATTTAAAAATTAATATAGGTTATCTTAATAAAATTTTGAGTAATTTTAATTTATTTAATTGTTCAAAATTGTTCAAAGTGTTCAAACTTACTGTCCACAACTGTTTCATAACAATACTGCCCTTTTGTTAATATTTTTCAAAAACTTTTTCATCTTCAATTCATTATTAAAAACTTATAGAAAAATACATAATATATAGGCAAATATGTGACACTATGCAAAAGAGAGAACCCTATACTCTAAATTTTTTTATAGTGGGTTAGGTTGTTTGATATTACGTTTAGCACTGATTTTAGTAATATTACACAAAATATATACTTACTTTTGAGAAAAAAAGATATAAATCTTGATCTTTATATAATATAATAAAACTCAATCTTTCGGTTTGTTGTATATATTATAACTTATTTTTTTGGTTTATATTTTATGTTTTTTAGATATTACAAAACCAAAAAGAGCATATTGTTGAAAAAATAAATATAATAATTTATTATTAAAGATCTGTTAAGACAGAAAGTACTAGTAGAGGATATAAATTATTATTATTAAATAGAATTAAAGTAGAAAATGATGAATTATATATATATTATTAGAAACTGGTAAAGGTTAGTTATTGCTATTAAAGTGGAATTAAAGTTAAAAAAATTAAATATAACACTTTTTTTTTTTTATATTATAAATCTACTGATGGTTATGATAATAGAAATTATATCCTAATGAATTAGGTTGAAAAAGACAAATATAAAGCAATGTTATATTGAAATAAGTAGCAATACAAATTGTTCACATGGATTATGAGTTCTTAGGTGAGTTTAATTATTAATTACTGATATCTTAAGGGAATTTGAAGGTAATTTAAAATGGATTGAAATTATTAATAGAGATGCTTATATCAATTTATTTTTTTTCTTATGATATTTATTATTTTCTCAAACTAGGGCAAAAAATTCAGAAAACTTTATATAAAGCAGAGTGTTCAGCTATTTCTAGTATCTAAACTAGCACTAACAATATTGAGATAACTATATAATCAGATTGGTTTTTTTTAATTTGATATGCTTATAGAATAAATTTTATTAAATCTAATTTGGTTGTTTTCGTGATATTGCTAGTGCTATTTTAGATACTAGAAATAGTTAGACACCTTGACATTAGATTATGCAAAGTTAATTTTTTATATTGCATTACCCGCCAACCTATTTTTTCAAATTTTCAAATAAAATTTTTTTTTAATTCCAATTGTGCCAATTATTCTATTTTTGCTATTTAATTTTTTTTCATAAATTCTATATCACCCGACAAAGACCTTATTTTACCAGAATTATTAAATAGGATCGTAGAAAAAAAATCTGACTACCAACTCAATCTTCTAATTCTATGTTATACAAAATAAAAAATTTATTTTGCATGGCCTTAGATATGAATATGAGTCGATTAATTTACTGTAGATTAAAAAAAAAATCCATCAAAATGAAAAATCAACTTGGTATATTCTAAGGTATTGTCACATATTTTCTTATCTACTAGTATATCTTGGCTTTTATTAATTTTTCTTTTTCTGAGTCTGCATTTATAACACATATCTTGAATACTAATTCTTTTATATCTTTTCTTAAGTATACATTTATAACATGTGTCTTGAACATCAACTTTCTCTGTAGAATGGATTTTTTTAAGTATATACTTATAACACTTGTCTTAAAAATTAACTTTCTTTATAGATCAGATTCTGACCATGGCAGATATTTCAATTTGTATATCACATTGTTTAGTTTTAGCTATCTCTGAAGTTTGTTTCTTTTCAACAAAAGCTTCGCCCTTTTTAAGCACTATTTTTTCATTATTTATAAGTTTAGTTTGAATTACTTGATGATATACTACTGCTGTTGCTTTTTCCATGTTCATTCTTTAAAAAATAAGTTGCTTAATTTGTTGTTTTTTTTTTTTAGATAGAAGTCTACGTCTAGGTGGTATTTTGTTAATAAAAGATATTGATAGATTAACTAAAAGAGTATATCTTAAAGGATATTGTTTAGGAAATGCAATCTAGTTATCTACCAGTTTAATTTTTTAATTATAAAATATTATAAAAAAATAAATTTTGGATCGTATTTT